CTGATCTCCTGCCGGCTGGCCTGCTTCAACCTATCGACATTCCCCCTGAACCATTCTTTCGCGTCGGCCTCGACTTGCTTGGACCTTTCTCTGCATCCGTTTTAGGCGACAAATGGATCGCTGTCGCAACTGACTATGCAACCAGATGCGCTATTAGTTATAACTTGTGCCTTGCCAACTAGCTGCGCTACCGACGTCGCAGACTTTCTACTGAACGACGTCATTCTGTGGCATGTGGCTGCGCACAAGCTTCCGACGGACCATGGCCGCTGCTTCCTCAAAAAGGTTATCGACGAAATTGTCACTGATCTACCAAACATCACCTTATTGCTGCCTACCATCCCCAGACCAACCGTCTCACGTACGTAGCACCTCAACCGAACTGCTACAGACATGTTTCCATGTACCACCGTCTCTGCCGACCACCGACCACCGTCGCCGTCGCCGACCACCGTGACTGGGACGCAACGCTCCCCTACGTGACGTTTCGTCAAGTCATAACCACCACTGACTATTCTCCGTTCTTTCATCTGTACGGCCGCAACCCTGCGTTGCCATTAGACACAATCCTTCCTTATGATACTACCCAACCGACGGTGTATGCTCAGGACGTTGCTTCTCAAGCCCACGTCGCCCTCCAAATCGCGCACATTAGGCTCTGTGCTTCTCAGGCCTGACAAAAAATCTGCTATGATTACTGGCACCAGAATGTTGACTACCCTTCTTATTCTCTTGTCCTACTATGGACGCCGTACCGACGTGAAAGCTTGCGCAAGAAGCTCCTCCCACAATACATAGGGCCCTACGAAGTTATCCTCGAGGTCATCGACGTCGACTACTTCATCACTCCCGTTCAACCCCACTCATGTTCTGTCACACCACCTACTGATGTTGTTCATCGGTCGTGCCTAAAACGCTACTATAGTGCCAGTCCTGATTTATTTAGGGGTGTCGTGACGGTGCTTCGTCCGCCGGGGGTGATGTTACGAGGCAGTGGTTATGGCTCGACCGCCGTACAGGGATCGGCGAAGAAGAAGCGAACTCGCCGCGCAGGATACTGGCAGACCTCAGGTGTCACATTTACGCCTAAATATTGCAAATATACTCGTTTCTATCTTCCGTGTATTTTTCATCCCTGTGACATTGTGTTGCTTCAGTAAACATTAGGCAACTGGACAGTGCTTATAACGTTTACACCCACTTTTGCGGGCTGTAATGTTTTCAGGCATGGCGTAATACAAAAAGCTTTTTTTAGAGTTGCTGATTTTTCAAAAACTGCCTCCGCAGAACAACAGAGCTTGATCGGGCAGAACGTGTGCTCACACATACAATTAGCTACACAATCAGAATGCTCTGCACTCTGAGAATAGTCGTAGCAGCAACCAGGCTGAACATATTCACGTTCGGAACTGCATACGATGGTGTCGCAAATGACGTGTCACAAGCGAGTTCAGAAAAACTTCAGTGAGCTTCCAAGTGTGGGGAAACACGTTAAACATCATGCCACACAATACACACTATGACATTGTAGTGCGATTTAGTGCGAGTTTAGTGTGATTGTGGTCGTACTTCCGACGACCACAATCACACAAAACTCCACAAGCAAGATCACGCAAACATCCGAGATTTCGCTACCATTGCCCAACCACTCACTGCCCTTCTCAAAATGAGCGTGCCCTCACGTGGGTGCAAGACCGAGCAGCGGCGTTTTTTACGCTGATCGACCTGCTCACTTCACCACCAATACTGGCCCACTTTTACCCGTCCGTGACGACTGAAGTTCACACAGACGCCAGTGCTCACAGCATCGGCACCGTCCTGGCTCAACACCAGGGGGACGAAACTCGTGTTATTGCGCATGCCAGCCGCCTTATTCCACATCTGAGCAAAACTATTCGATCATGGAGCATGAGTGTATTACATTGGACTGGGCTGTAGCTAAGTTTCACTGCTACGTTTATGACGATGAGTCATTAGTTATTACCGACCACCACGCTCTGCGTCGGTTGCTGTCGCTCAAGAACCCAACCGGTCGCCTAGGTCGCTGGCTCTACGTCTTCAGGAGTATAACTTCCACGTGATTTATAAGTCTAGCAGGTGTCACCAGGATGCCGATTGTCTCTCACGTTACCTGGTAGACCTTGATAGCGTAGATGTCCGTAAGAGCGCTTTCTGTGTGCTCACCATATCAAATTTGTGCGACATCGGCACAAAGCAGCTTTGGCACACAACCCAAAAGACGGTCGTAGAGCAAGTATCTTCAGGACATTCTGACCCTTCGCTCTGTCGATATGTTCTTCGCAAAGGCGTTAAGTATTGCCGCAACATGAAGCCTCATGACCCGGAATTTTCGTTAGTTATTCCCCGACACCTGCGTGTTACCATTCTTCAACGTACTCATGATGCTTCGATGGTGGGACACGTGGGTCTTTCACGCACCTTTCACGGCGTACGGCAACGATTCTTTTGGCCTGGCCTGTATGAATTTGTGCACCGTTATGTTGCTGCTTGCCAGCGCTGCCAGCGTCGCAAACGTCCTGATCTCCTGCCGGCTGGCCTGCTTCAACCTATCGACATTCCCCCTGAACCATTCTTTCGCGTCGGCCTCGACTTGCTTGGACCTTTCTCTGCATCCGTTTTAGGCGACAAATGGATCGCTGTCGCAACTGACTATGCAACCAGATGCGCTATTAGTTATAACTTGTGCCTTGCCAACTAGCTGCGCTACCGACGTCGCAGACTTTCTACTGAACGACGTCATTCTGTGGCATGTGGCTGCGCACAAGCTTCCGACGGACCATGGCCGCTGCTTCCTCAAAAAGGTTATCGACGAAATTGTCACTGATCTACCAAACATCACCTTATTGCTGCCTACCATCCCCAGACCAACCGTCTCACGTACGTAGCACCTCAACCGAACTGCTACAGACATGTTTTCCATGTACCACCGTCTCTGCCGACCACCGACCACCGTCGCCGTCGCCGACCACCGTGACTGGGACGCAACGCTCCCCTACGTGACGTTTCGTCAAGTCATAACCACCACTGACTATTCTCCGTTCTTTCATCTGTACGGCCGCAACCCTGCGTTGCCATTAGACACAATCCTTCCTTATGATACTACCCAACCGACGGTGTATGCTCAGGACGTTGCTTCTCAAGCCCACGTCGCCCTCCAAATCGCGCACATTAGGCTCTGTGCTTCTCAGGCCTGACAAAAAATCTGCTATGATTACTGGCACCAGAATGTTGACTACCCTTCTTATTCTCTTGTCCTACTATGGACGCCGTACCGACGTGAAAGCTTGCGCAAGAAGCTCCTCCCACAATACATAGGGCCCTACGAAGTTATCCTCGAGGTCATCGACGTCGACTACTTCATCACTCCCGTTCAACCCCACTCATGTTCTGTCACACCACCTACTGATGTTGTTCATCGGTCGTGCCTAAAACGCTACTATAGTGCCAGTCCTGATTTATTTAGGGGTGTCGTGACGGTGCTTCGTCCGCCGGGGGTGATGTTACGAGGCAGTGGTTATGGCTCGACCGCCGTACAGGGATCGGCGAAGAAGAAGCGAACTCGCCGCGCAGGATACTGGCAGACCTCAGGTGTCACATTTACGCCTAAATATTGCAAATATACTCGTTTCTATCTTCCGTGTATTTTTCATCCCTGTGACATTGTGTTGCTTCAGTAAACATTAGGCAACTGGACAGTGCTTATAACGTTTACACCCACTTTTGCGGGCTGTAATGTTTTCAGGCATGGCGTAATACAAAAAGCTTTTTTTAGAGTTGCTGATTTTTCGAATGAGCAACCAGTGATAATCACGTGTTTGTGTCAGCAACCTCAGATGTAAATTCGTTCCTGGTAATTCCGCAATTATAGCATACCAGATTACGATGCAGTTGCAGTAGAAGTTAGTACCGGGTTCTCTTTACGGCAAAGGCCGACGCTTAATACGGCCGTATTTCGATGTAGAGAACATGCTAGAAGTTCATGTATTTCGATTTCAGTGCATGTTAAAGAACCCCTGAATTGTTTTCAGTTTTCACATGTCTTACACGCACACGTAAAAATGGACTCATGGACAAACAAGTAGTGTCGTTGAACTATCTCTTCCCCATCCTATATTGTGAAAATGCTAACTACAGTACTGGAGCCCTTGGTGATAAATGCTACTATGAGTCCTCTCTTGCACGGCTTTCATTGCCCAAGTTCCTTTGAAACGTGAAGGATCCTAAAACAATATTGTCATGCTAGGCAAACATAAATACATAAACACTATGAGCCTCAAACAACAGTCAAAAGCCTTTATAAACCTTCCTCATTGCCTTGACTGGTTAGCCATTATTATATACCAGTGCACAAAATGTACTCTTCGGTTAGTAAAAAGAATATTACACTCTCTTCTCGTAAACTACAGTGCCTTGCAAATATCACTTTATGGAAAGGGTCTTTGCAGCTTCAATCAGTGACCTGCCACAACAAAAGCGCTCACCTATGCCTCATTGTTAAAACATACAGCTGTCTCACCTTGCATAGCGACATCTTTCTTCCAACATTATGCTTCGGAACTTCTTCAGATTATTCCCAAAGGTGCAAATCATGAAATGAATAAAACATACACGTAAAAAGTCATTTGTTCCCCACAAATTACAGAACTGAAACAACCTTTTAGAATCAGTCATGTTCATGGTTCGTAATCCTCTGTTGATTGCGGGCTAATACAAAGTGAAAACACTGCGGAAACAATCAATAACGATGTACTTTCGGCAAGCTGTCTGATTCGTGATTAGAACTTGCACTTCGTTTTTGTGTCAACTGACGCAGAAATTGCTGTGAAATAACTTGCATTGCAAGTTTTTTTATGTCCCAGTTCCCACTTTAACGCCTCTTCCCCTGCGAGTAATTGAAACAAATAATTATAGTGATAAAGTCCTCACCAATTGCGTTGAGTAATGCAATCAAAGTGTTTACCTATACTTTTTTTTTACAGGCTTCATCACGGGACCTCTAGCTCAGAGATTCGGTGGTCGTCCGGTGATAAGTTTGGGAGCAGCAATATCAAGCATCGGCCTAATGTTGAGTTTTTTTGCCACAACTATTGGTTTCCTGACATTTTCATTGGGTGTTGTACATGGTAAGGCACATTTCTTAAGCACCTGGTGGGACATAAAAATATCTTGCCCCTACGAAAAGCCAAGCTGTTCAAAGCCAGCGCAGCAATAGACTCCCGAATATTTAGCTTAACGCACTGCGTAGACATTTTCTATTCTTGTATTCAAACTTAGGGAACCGCTTTTATGTTGACCTCAATGCGAAGTACCTGTTATGAATGTTAACTGATATTTTGTCTTATTTTTAGGGCATGGTCAGGTACATATTGCATATCATAGCCACACATGCGCAAAATTTAATACACACGAGACTCACTGCACCAAGCCATCCTTGTAACGCTAACCTAACTAAGCAGCTGTTAGGAAAGCGTTTTTCTTTTGTGAAAGTTTATGTATTTATGATGACGTGATAATACACCAACGTCGGTTGGGACTAAAGAATTATCCTTGCATAAACTGCTGGTCAAACTCTCATGTATCACAATTGGTTGAGCACATACTTCCTTTCTAGGCGCACATGAAGTTTAACACGTGTCTCTAGCCCTACCTGAAGAGGCGCCCGTCAAGTAAAATTCAAAGTAAATGATAATAAAACTTCAACCCTTCTGTAAAGTGCAGCTTCAGACTACAAGATGGTCAATATTGAAGTGAATTTCCTATAAAATTATCATAACCAGTAAGATCAGTCAGTCAATGTCCACTGCAGCACGAAAGGTTCTCCTAATAAACTTCATTTTACGCTCCACTTCACGAGCTCATTCGAACTGATTCTTGCGCACATAGTTTTCTTCCTCCCTCCCTTTTTGCTCTCTGCCTGCTTTTCTAGAGTTTTCCACTCCAATGGTGTTCATAACGTCGTTCACACCAGCAGTTATCTAGCGTAGCTTCAAATCGCCAAACCAACTTCACTTTTTCTCCTAGTTTCAAAACTGATGGCAACTACTCTTGATAGTTCCCAAATCTAGTAAACTCTTTTCGTATTCACCGATGCTGCACCTCTGACTTCGCGGTTGTGACTGTTTGGGTTGGCGCGGTGAACTCTGATTTGAGTGTACGCGCATTATATCTCTGTTTCCTCGTTGTGTTTCGTATTTTAATATCTCGAAAGCAAAATTGCTTAAGATATTTTCCGTTAACTATTTTCCGCATTGGCTCACGATCTAGTCGCTTAAACACTATATACAATTCAGAGCTGCAATGAAACGCTGATGGTGTTTCTCAATAGTAGATACCTTCGCACATTTTCATTGCAGGAGCTGCATCTAGCAAACAAAGATTTCTCGTTAGTGATACCAAGCCACTTGGCCATAGCGTAGATTTTCGAGCATTCAGAAACATTATCTTAGTGCATGTTGTGTTTCATTTATAACCATTTCTGTAACCACTTTATCTACTCTTGCAGCCATCGGAACGGGTATGGTGTTCATAGTAGCCCCCACCATTGTCAGCGAGCACTTCGTCAAGAACTTGGGCCTAGCAATGGGCCTCAACTACGCCGGCGTAACCGCGGCCCTTTTTGTGTTTCCTAAGCTGCTCGAATACCTGGTCGCTGGATATGGACTGCACGGCGCCCTTTTTATCTGTGGTGCCATCACCATGAACGGACTTGCCTTTAGCATATTCACTGGGAGGCCGACTTGGCGTGTGGTTGCTGCCGGGGAGAATCCTGTTTCAACCAAGCTGCCTCCGAAAGCAACGGAAGCTGAAAGGAGCCACGAGTTGTGCCACGCACTGACAGTATTCAGAAGCCCCATGTTTTATCTCATAATGTACAGCTTCAACGCCTACTGCATGTCTTTCGATTTGTACATGTCATTATTCGTGGACTTCGCCTCTGATCGAGGGGTGACAGTGGCGACTGCTCTAAGTGTAATGGCTGCTGGAGCAGTGTCCGAGGGTGTTGGACGATTCACGCTGCCGATGGCCGTTGATCGAAGCTTGATAACAAACAATGTTGCTCTCATGCTGACATTGGGCGCGGAGGCAGTGGCGTTTCTTATGCTACCTTTTCTGCACAACCACGGCCTCATCTTTGCGGTGGTCATTGTAATTGGCTTCATCATTGGTACTGCTATAGTTTTCTTCCCGGTGACTCTGGACTATTACTTCGGACATGAGAAGATGTCGATCGCCTTTGGGATCGTCGTCGCATCAGCCGGATTGCAGTCATTTGTGAGGCCATCATTGATAGGTACGACTCATGGTGTATTACCACTAAGAAATTTCACAGCAGAGCCATAGCGTTATTCTACTGATTTGAAAAAGTGGGCAGCAAATAATTGTGTCGTAGTGGCTTGTAGAGTAAAACCTTGGTTATACGATCACGACTGGGAATAATTTCAAGGGAACACGAATTTTCCCATGGTCCCGGCTAAGACCCGGTAGCTTGCAATGAAATGAAGTGTGCCTGTGCAAACCAATTTTTCGCCTTATGACGTTTAAGACGAACGTATGCTACCACGCAGATACGACAGGCCCTGCCCGCGCTGGTGCCGAAAACAAAGCAAACACGTGTGGGCATGGGAACCCATGTGCGGGCATGAACGCGCGTACCTTCGATTTGCACTTTGATTTGCACAGGCCTCTCCCGAATTTCGAGAAGACTTCTCCATTTACATGTCCAAAAATTAGCTTCAACTCCACGATGAAATAGTAACCACAGATGCAGCCAATGGGGTCTAAAATTTTCTGGCCCTAATCAATCGTGTGCAAATTGCTCTTTTGTGCATTTTTGCCACAGTACTTTGTTGTCATGAGAAAAAGCTTACTACAATTTATAGTAATTTGTAGTAAAGCTGGGTGATTCTACGTAACATCTAACAGAGCATAGCTAGTTGACCTAATAAATTTCTTTCAAAATTTCATATATTATTGCCTGATCAGTACAAAGAAGAGATCCGCAATTGCATTTGCTGGAAACTGTTTCATAGCAAAGTAAAGCAATCATTGCGAATAGGTGGATCCAGTGCCACGCGTACCTCCTCTACTGTTTTTTTGAATTTTAGGATGAATTAAAAATACCTGCTCAGACTTTTTTTTTCAAGTTTGAGGGTTCAATAAAAAAGAAAAGGAGCAACGTACCTCATACTTTTTTAGCCAACTATATGCATACTTTCACTTAGATTCAATTATGTTTTTTTTCTCTGCGTTGTGCACATCGTTTTATAAAAATTCTCAAGTTTGATCTCAAAACGTTATTTTGCCTGGTTTCCAACTTTTATTTCAAAAGAGGCCTATGACAGAGCAGTAGAAATTCCGCTTTTTTATTCTCAGCATGCTTGTTTATAAAACTGCCAGGGCTTACAGTAGTAAATTTTTCCAATAAATTCATATACTCGCGCTAACTTAAACAAAAGACCATGCAAGAGAAACTTCTCACGATAGTTAAATAAATTATTTTTTGATAATTTTCATACGTTCACCAAATCTTTTCCTGCACATCAGCTTACACATTCAATAAAAAGGTGTTGCATTATATGGCTTTGCTTGCAGTTATGGCCTGTCAATAAATGCCCTTACGCAACTATAGGCAACGGTATATCGGACTTCCTGCCCACTAAATATGAAATGCAGGCGTATACTTCCGTTTTTTAAAAGGAAAGAGCACTGAAATAGCTGCCGACTGCCCAGAGGAGGCCAATCTTGAAATTGTTTGGTAACCATTTCGTTGGTGTAGATTGTTTGTCAATTTATCACGTTTTATTAGTTTTCAAACCGCGGGTATCAGCCATTCAGCGGCTACACTGAGCTAATTCTGTATTTTAGGGGATATTCACGCGCTTGCTAATCGCCACCTCTCAATTTGTGTGCAGTATTTCTAGCAAAGTGTTTTTTTTTCATTTTTGTGGAAGGCCTTTTTGAATTCCTCTGTTTTAAATTGTTATCGTGCGACAAGACACAGAGCTGGATTGATTGATATGTGGGGTTTAACGTCCCGAAGCCACCATATGATTATGAGATACGCCGTAGTGGAGGGCTCCGGAAATTTCGGCTACCCGGGGTTCTTTAACATGCACCCAAATCTGAGCACACGGTCCTACAACATTTCCACCTCCATCAGAAACGCAGCCGCTGCAGCCGGGATTTGAACCCGCGACCTGCGGGTCAGCAGCCGAGTGCCTTAGCCGCTAGACCGCCGCGGCGGGGCCAAGACGCATAGTTTATAGTTGATTCTATGAAGAAAGTTTTTAACCTGTACTATGTCTATTTGCAAATCAAATATTTATAATATTATTAATCTTAATGTAGAAGCAGTAGTGGCAATAACCTCGACAATATCTTAATCAACACTGTAATGTGTGAAAAAATAATATTTATCTGTGATTTTCGGTGAAATTGTGCTGACGTGCTTGTGCTTAAGACATATGTATGCCAGTCCACTTATCTTTTATTTTTGCAGGCCACTTCAGGGACCGAGGAGGCGCCTACGACTGGCTATTTATCATATGTGGAGTTGTCAACGTGGTTGCTGCCGCTCTTTGGATGGTGGCTCTGGCGTGGGAGAGCAGCAGAAGAAAGAGCATGGCACTTGTTGAAATCACACCTGCGTGCGCTGTTATTACTAAAACAATTAGCAACTAATGAAAACCCAAAGTTACAATTCAATGTCAGCGATGGTGTTATACATAAAGTGCAATGAAAACCCCTCTATTGTTAATGTAGCATCAGCGTTTTGTGTACAGGAAAAAAGGTGCCGCCACATCCATGAAGTGAATGATGAGTGGGCGAAGCTCCGGAGGCAAACCTGGTAAACCATGAATCATCGGTACATTTTGCCCACTCGATTTTATTGCAACGCTCCCCCTAGCGTACGTCGCCGCACTATATCGAACGATGACACGCGCCATATGTGGCATCATTCCTATTTTATAACACCTCGCATCTTTCATAATCAACTACACGTACCGCCGTCTAGTTTATAACATCTTGCATCTTTTGGACGGACGGACGGACGGACGGATGGATGGATGGATGGATGGACGGACGGACGGATGGATGGATGGACGGACGGACGGATGGATGGATGGATGGATGGATGGATGGATGGATGGATGGATGGATGGATGGATGGATGGACGGATGGACGGATGGATATGGCTGTACCCTTTAGATCGGGCGGTGGCTAGCGTAATACTTAACGCCGTCCGCTACAAGTACCGCCATCTAGTGAACACTGCAAGAACTGAACGAGAGGTGGCTACATACAGGGGACGCACAGCCCACGCCTTAAGGAGCCTCGCTCCTAAAAAATGTGGAAGCGCACAATACTTTTTCGTGTTAAGCACATCAGTGCAGGTGAAAATGAAATTATATAGCTTTAAGGTCTCTTGGCAAGCGTAGAAAAAAAAATTATTAGAACCAGGGGTTGACCTACCCATGACTTGAGTCCCATTATTATATAACTGAAGTCGTAAAAACACAGCTGCAACAGATTCTACGGAAGGAAAGTAACTTTAGCCTTTCACTGAAAAAATAAACTTTGTCTCGCTAGAAGCTCCACTTGTAAGAATTTGGTGGCTACCACAAATTTGTAGTGACTGTAAATCAATTCTAAACAAGATGAAATGAAATTTTACTTTCTTCCATATTGGAGCATTATGTTGTTATGTTTAAAATCATTGCATTTTAGCCATACATGATAAACTAGAAAACTCCGAAGTTCCTGAAGGTGCCTGTAATTTAGTCCTGTGACACTCGAAAAGACAACGATACGCTGGTTTTAAGGGTGAGCGCAGCTCCTTGAGCCAAGGGTCACGCTTCCTCGATGTATGTATACGTCTAGGTAGCCACCTCTCGTTTAGATCTTGGAATGTTCGCTAGACGGCAGTACTTGCTTCCAATAATATATGATGAAAAGATACAGGATGGTAGTAGTTGGAGTCTTCACTAGAAGGACATAGAGAGAAACAGACAAGCGGACATATGGATGGACAATCAGAAAGACAAGCAGGTGGATGGACGGACGAATGGACATACACAAAGATGCATGGACGAATGGACAGACATACAGACCCACAGGCAGGGCGATGATGGACTGACAAACAGAGAGACAGACGGACGGACGAATGGTAGACGTACGATCGATGGTCTACCGATAAAACCCTGCGAATATTTTCTCCATTGATCATCGTTCAATACATAGATATGTCATTTAAAAAAATGATAGTTTTTTCTTTGGGTACCTTAACAAACAAATTTCGTTCTGTCTGTGCATTTTGTGTGTTTGTCAAGAAAAACAGTTCAGGCACTACAACCACGTCCACAGCGCCCACCAATATTTCCATGCTTTTGCGTTTAAACATATGAGATAGTCATTGTAAAAGGAAATACTGTGCATATCTGAAGCACAATGTCAACACGCTAATAATCTGCGGTGTGTTCCCTTATACTAGAAAAGGCATACATAAGTAATGCTGAAAGCTGTACTGTTTATTGCGCTATGATGACAATGCGGCGCTATGCAGCAAAAGGATAAATTCTTACGCGTTGCCAAGACGATACGGTGCTGCTACCTCATTTGAAATCTACAAAATATGGCATCCAACTTGCGTTTTCTGAGATTACTGACAGATGGCACTCATGTCTCACGGGTATATATAATTCTGACGCAGCGCCACCAGAATCTCACTCACGGACTTTCTCACGCAAAACATCAAATAAATGCTTTACTCTATTCGTAGTCTCCAGATGGGAGACTATCGTCTTCCGATGACATTTGCAGTCGAACATTCAGATACGGGGAAATTTTTAACTAGTGGCCTATTTAATGGGGCCTCACGCCTAAAGAGGTTGCCATGACCACACATTCATGAGATTGAAGTAACTTGTAGCAGCCAATAAACTGTCCACCACTCCTGATTCTCAGGTGTAAGAACGTGTGCGTAAGCTCATTTGAATTCAACCACATTACGTGTTCTTCGAGGGCCAATAAGGAATGCTATATATTTAGCACTAAATGAAAGAATTAGGAAGATCCCACGTACTTTGCAATCGACCTCATGCGGGGCATGCGGAGAGAAGGTAACCGTGTTGCAATAGTTTTTATTTAGCGACACGTCGAGAAATCACGCCACATACATGTACAAATATGGCACGCACAGGCACATGTTGAAGACTTCCAGATGTCTGCATAGACAGTTCTTTGCACTCTCACAGCGATTTCAACTGGAACATGCTTATTAGCAACACCTGAAGCTGATATGAAGCGCTGATGCTCGCGAAGATGCTGGCCCTGGACACTGCTACATGAATGGGCTTCAGCGCAGGGTACCTGACCACTCTTTATGTTAACCTGGCTTGACGTCAGCATGAAAGGCGTACATATGTAATGTTTGTAATATTAGGTAGGCAGCACTGCAACCACTATTGACGTTTCACGAAGATTAGCATCAATTTGAAAAGTAGTTTCGAGATCTGGCGTAGCTCTGTGGTAGAATGCTTGGATGCTACGCAGGGCGCTTGGGTTCGATTCTTGCTGGGACACTGTAATTTATTAATTGCATTCGTCGGGGGTCTGCGCTGCTTATGTCAGGTTTTTCTTAACATTGACATCTATTTTAAGTTTTCGTTCTGTCGGTGCTACCGATGTCGGGTTTTGCTTAACGCTCACGCTTTAAAATTTCCCATGTGTGTTCTCGTCATTCTTGGACAGATGAAGTTCTTGTTCTTGTTCGCCTGTTGTCCGTGGGCATAACCACAATGGGGGTTGGCCAAGAATTGAGTGGTTATAAAAACGATTGTTGAGATTTAGAATAATGAAGATACAATAGAAGGATTACCAAAGACATAGGAAAGTGTGGTGATTGATTTAATGCATACTAATTTTTAAATAAAGAAACGAGTTTATTCTTAAAATAGAGCAATAATTTCTTTCTTATACGTATATAAATTTGTAGACACGTTAGGAAAATAAACAGAATAATTAGTTAAACTATTGGTTTCATTAATATATTCCCGGACAGCCACGCATACTGTCGCATTAGAGAACCCAGCGAGGGAAGCTCCAAAAGACTAAGATACTAAGTGTCGGTCACTTGAGGCGCATACGCGCATACCAGCCGCACATACCGTGGGTATGTGCTACTGGCAGGCGGGAAGCATTTGACCACGTTTGCGACGAAATTGTGACTTAATTCATGTCTTAACCAGCACGTTCCATTTGCCAAACCATCTTACTCCCTGACGCTAGTTTTGGATATCGCCAACTTAAGGGGATGACGACGGGACCACCCAAAACGCAAGCGTTTAGATAGGTAGATACGCTCCAGTTCGCGGCAGCAACAATGTAGGGGAAGGAGATGTATTCAGAACGGGAAAAGCAATCATCATCATCATCATCATCATCAGCCTGACTACGTCCACTGTAGGACAAAGGCCTCTCCCATGTTCCACCAGTCAACTCGGTGATTATGATGGAGAACAAATGGTTGATGGTAATTAAGAAGAGGCATTTAGGCCAGAGATATTTCTACGAGCCTAGAAACAGGCAGGGTTGGAATTTTAAACATATCTGATGTGCAATGCATGAGCCCTCCTCAGATCCCTAATGAAGCAACTATGCAGCTTGGCAAACTATGCGACACAAACAGGTTTGTAGGGCCTAGTTTCTCAAGTTTTGATGTATGTTATTTACCCATTATGTGCAGAACGGCAGAAAGTTTAGAAAACATTTGAAGACATCAAAATTCCTGGACACTAGGTGCAGCAGGATCCATCGGATATTTATGCAATAAAAGGTGCCAACGCACCAATGCCTATACACCCCTCTCCCACCTGTTTAAAAGGGTACAAAAGCAAATCAACAACATAATCGTGGCCTTCCCTATACAGAGCTCTTCATCCGCAGGAGTACTTTCACATTTTGAGTGTCATGAAAACACTTGAGCTTCGACAAATGAGAACGCTTATGTATTACTGTCAATATAGGAAAAACGCGAAGGTTGTCGTAAAAATAACCAAAGGTTTGTTGTATATATTCGGCATTCCAATTTAATGCTAAGCATTTCTGGGTGATTCCCAAATGCGAAATATTTGCAGCTGCCATTCTGGCCCTAAAAAATTGGCAGCACTTGCATTGATTGTCGCGTCTGTGATAAGTCACTCCGTAGTTCACACTAAATGTGTGCCAAAGAGAGCTCCGGTGATATTATTAACCCACGAGTCACGTGGACGAGTCTACGGAGCACGCAGGCAGAAAATGGCGCAGCAGTCATGCGAGCGTATCTGCCTACTTAAATTTTTCACTAGATACAATTTTTCCCAGAATAATATGCATTCCATTTACCGTTAGCAGTTTACCCTTGCTGTTGCAGCAGTACCACCTGGTACACATCTGCTTACTACATGCAAGACAGTCTTTCACTCAGTGTAATCGATGGTGGAAACTTATATCACGAATTACTTCAAATTACCTGTTACCGACGGAACGAAATTCTAGACGTCTTGTACTTTCGGTTTTGAGTGCATGCTGATGCACTACATGTGGTCTAACTTAGCCAACGCCCTCAACTACGACTTCTTGCGTAACCTGATCTTAAGTGAGGTGCGCAAAAAAAAAAACCGAAGCACAAAAAGAAGACACCTGGACATATAGGGTAGCACGGGAAATCAGAGAACAATAAATTAATAACAAAGCAGGTGATTTATAGGTCGCGAAACTCTC